GCCATTATTACGGATGGAACAAGCATTGTTTTCGTTTGTAATCTTGCTATGCCTATATCCTAAATATTTGATCCCCCTCATTATTTGGCCCCTAAACACCCAATGCACACTTGCTACATGCACTTAAATCTCATGGATGTTAAGCACACATAGTTTGTTGACTGGTACAAAAAAAAGAGCTCTTTGGTTGTTTTACAATAACATTTGAGTCGAGTCAGATTTTCCATGATTCTTATTCTGCAACATTAGTAAAAGGCAGCCTTATCTGTCCTTTCCAAGCTTGTTTCATCCTAGTGACAATGTACTGTAGACGTCCTTGGAAATATCTACAGACTTACAAGGGTGATTTTTTCTTTTGATAAGGGAAGTTCAGAACAGCTTGTTGAGCATGAAAACATCGACAGCTGACTTCTATCACGTCAGACTATTGGTACATTTAGCCCTATATTGTCTGCTTTGACTGGCAGTGGCTCTCCAAAATCTCTTCATTTTAATTAGAGGTGTGTTATTGCTAGTGTGTACTGTTTGTAGGCAGTTGGCGGCCCAGTATTTTTTGAATGATGCAAGAAAGAAGAGTTGTGGTGTTAGAGTTATATTAGTGACTGTTTCAGGTTAGGGTTGCAGGTTATATGACCATAATATAGTCGTACCTCCGCTTACGTATCCCTCCAGTTATGCAAACTTTGGCTTATGTAAGTGGCAAACCAGGAATTATATCTCTTGGTTTTTGCCCTGCGCACATGCACAGATGCGCTCTCCCGCCACGCGTGTATGCGCAGAAGCAGTCTCTCCGGTTGCTAAAACCTCGGGATCTGGCCGGACCTCCAGAACGGATCCGACGTCCGCAGCTGGGGGTACCACTGTATAAGGCCAGGCTGTGAAGGCATTCAGCAATATGTAACAATGGAGCTTGGAGATTGCAAAGTGATCCTTTGAATGTTACAAACATGTTACCATTTTCATCTGTGAAAGGTTCTAAATATGTGCCTATATGGAGGCTGTCATGACTTTGGACCACTTTACTTAAGGAAACTCTTTGTTGGAGTTTGGTAAATATAGTCTGGTAAGACTGCTGGGTTACAGGATAAAGACTAGGGCCATAAAATTTCGCCAATGTGCAATTATATATTTTCAAAATCTATTTTTTTTATAAAAGCAAAATCCAGTTCAACAGCATATTGATATTTGAAGCAAGCAAAAATTGGTCTGATCTTTCTTGTTTATATCAATATTGTCTAAATATTGAGAGTTCAACATTAGGATAGAGTTGCTGGACCTACTTAATTTTCTTCTTTGCATTCTAAAATGCATCATCATCTAAGTGAAGCCTGCTGCAAACTGTGACAGAGCAATTTGAGGCAAAAGAAGAAATAATGATAAGAAATCATTATTTGCTGTACTCTAATAGAGCTTTAGAGGCCTCCGTTGAGATTGGAGGTCATTTAGTTGACACTGTGGAAATACATAATGACAGACTCCTTTTGTCAAAGAACTTTCTTCTAAATTGGATACAGGAAGAAGGAGAGAAGCAGGAAACCCAATTTTGTTGATATGGACCAGGATAATGATGACAGTGATACCTCACTTCTTCATGTATTTATTCACATATTTGGAATCACAAATAGTTTGCTCTTTCTTTGGATCCCAGCCCACACATGCAGGTATCAACATGTTAACATTCCAAATCCAAACAGAAACTTAATTAGGCAAGTGAAATGTAAATTGAGGGAGGATAATTCATATTTCCACTTTTAAAATGTATTCTAGAATGTCACTACTCCAAGTCTTTGGGAGCTTCTGATTCCTTGTTTCAGATTCCCGGCCTTTTATGAAGCAATTGCGCTAATCACTGAGTAAGAGTCTGAGGGCAGTGTTTGTTTCAGTTACAGCAAACTGCTAGGCTCCTTGGCAGACTTCCTGGCCTTTTCATAAAAGAGATTTCAGGATCGAATGAAAGTTGCATATCTTGTTCCATGGGATTATAGAGCTGCATTATCAGTGGATAATGGTAGTCATGCTCTGCGCTTTCTGCATTTTATGACCTGCCTTCCAGAAACACAAGATATGCTATTTCCCAGGGGGTTGTGCCATTAAGTGAATCCCCTAGCCAATGGATAAACATTAATAAGAGGTATGTAGTCCCACGAGTAAACTATCTGCTGCTTTTTTGTTGGTTAATATTTAATTGAAGGTCAAATAAAATATTAAACAGGCAAATTATTTCGTTGGATGTGAGAAAACAGTATCATTGGCTGACATTGGCTGACAAAAATGACTCAGTGATATTTACAAGAGCTGGAACAAATATTCATACACGCTGATGGAAGTGTGAACCAAACGCACACTGTACGCATCACTATCCTGTTGAAAAACATCCTGTGAGGATTGTAGATGCATCTCTAATTCTCTGTATGAAAATTCAACATTAATAGTATTAAGGAAAAGCAACAGGTGTATTTACATAAAGCACTCATTAGCCAAATTTCAACTAATAGTTACTTCAAAGAATGTAGTGGTACATCACTTTTGCACAGACGCTTTTCTAGGGATGTGTAAATCCTATCATATAAGGATATTTTCCTATGTAAGCTGAAGGGATATGCTGTGAAGGAAGAATCTAAGGCTGCAGCTCTATTTCTGTGGTAATATGAAATATGTGACTATACCAGATGAAATATTTGTCTGGAACTGGAAAATGCAACACATCAATCAAATCGAGTGAATATTCAAAAATATTCCTGTGTTTTTAGTGTTATATGTCGAATTCTCGTGAGATATTAATCTTTTTTAGGCTCAGAGACTTTCTGTGATCCCATCCAGTCTGACATAAGTTTTCATGCTAACAGACCTGTCTACAAGTATAAATATTGAGGATCAAATTAAATATCATCCAGGGGATCTAGGATCAGGATCACTGTTGCAGTTTCATTAAAAAGATGGGGCTGCAAATTTGGTCAGAGAAGCTGCATTTGTGGAGGATATATCAAACCCTTGCCCCTCTGTGCCACTTCCCCAGTTTGCCTGTTGTACTTATAGCAGAGGTCACCAATGTTGTGTCTGTGGGCAATGGTGCACCACTGAGGTCTTCCATTCATGCCAGCAAAGCCTCTGAGCTCCTTTCTTCACTGCCCCTTGGTCATGAGGTGGTGAGGGTGGTTACCTTGAAAAGTACATATAGCTGAAGGAAGACTCTTGCTTTTTCCAAGGCTCAGGTGAAGCCTACTGGATCTGACATTCCCCCTTAACCCTTAGAAAAGTGAGGTGTGTATGTGTGCGCAAGTGTAAATGCTCCCCCCCCCTTTATGTCTCCTGATATGTGTATGGGTTGGTCCAGGAAAGGGGCAAAGAAGTAGCAAGAGGGGGTGGAATCCACTGTACTCATGAAAAATTCAAATGTCACCTAAAAAGGTTGGCAATCCCTGACATTTTCCCATTGTGGCAAATAGCAGCTTTGGTGGTGAGGGGTGCTTTGGAGTGGGGGACTGGCAAAAAAGAGGACAGCTCCCCATCCCATCAATAACACTTCCCCAATCAAATTAGCTGCAATGAAGTTTGGTTGGGTTTTTTTAATGCTGGAGGCTCTTTCCTACTTTATGTCCAGTTGAGTCCTTAAGTGCTTCCCCATCTGTTTTGATTACTTTTTTATGTTAGAGTGGGAAGTGAAATATATTAATTACAAAAACTATGAGATAATGCAACCAGAAGAGGAAAACACTTTTGCAATGACATCTGGGTCAGGATTAAATGAAATAATTGATAAAGTGATATATTTAATGAAGTGATAAGCAATCTGTGTTCCCACGCAGTCTGACAGACTTTCTGTTGAGCCAGTGAAACTCCCACAAACATCCATTGCTCTGGACCAGGAAAGTAATAACAACTGCAGAAATTCTCCTGTGTGTTTCACACATCCTTGGATTCCTTCTGTAAGAGGAATGCATGCATGTGGCTTCTAAAAGGTGTCATATTAGGGTTTGAAAATGTCTTTTTGCAGCTGTGCAGAACAGCAAAAAATATTTTCAAAGGTTTGAGTTTATCGAACTATGGACAGGCACTAACCCACTTAAAGAAAACAAAACCCTTTAATCTTAGCTGAATTCTCCGTGGCGAAGTATAAGAGCTAGCTTCAGCATTTTGTCCAGCGCTCATTAGTATATGTGTCTGAGAAAGAGAATTTTAAAATATGTTAAATAACTGCTTTTTCTCACAGATAATCTCTGTGTATCTGGCTATTGCACATTAAAGTCCCTTGAAGGTAGGTGTGTTTGCCTGTTTGGAGTTCTGCAAAGGAATATTCAGCTCTCACTAAGTAAGGGTATCAAATGTGCTGGTGAGTCAGATAACAGGTGGTGCTGAAGGAGAGCAACTTTCCCCATTTGTATGACACAGAGGACTTGCTGTTTAGTCTAAGCACTCAAGTGTGTGTTTTTTTATCTTCCTCATGTTTGTGTTTATCTTCGAAGCTGCAAAGCTCAATTTATTTAAATGTATTCCAGATTGGAAATGAAAATGCCCTGTTTTCAATTTCACTTTCCTTGAACTGAAAAACAGTTTCTATAATGGATGAAAGCATAAGTAATAGTTCTCAATTAATTTTTATTACTTCATAGGTGTGTGTGTGTGTGTGTGTGTGTGTGTGTTCTTGTCAGATGAAAGTTTGACAGAGCAGTGTGAACAAGAGCCACTACCAGAGGCTGTTGGGCTAATGGCATACTTATTAATATTCATGAGGCATCTCATTTAGCTTGTGCGCTCGGGATTTGATTAAAGTAAGGACTGCCGCTATTGCTGCTGGAGCTGGAAAGAGCCTTGTGGGTGACACAGCTAGTTCTGTGGAGCCAGCTAATACTGTAATTTTGTGAAATCTTCACAGGGCTGTTGTAAAGCCTTCTGTGCGACGGGCTTCTGTTTTTAAGCCCCATTTCATGGTTTGGTGATGGAATAAATTTCAGTGCCTCTTGCTCCATTTTCTAACCTGTGCTCTGTATTTATTTCTTAAGGTCTGAAGGAAGCGATGATCATGTAGATGCCAACAGCCTGGGTGCAGCATAATGGGAAACGGTGAATGGGGTGGAACTGGTCTGCAACCTTGAAAGCAGCCATTCTGTGGACAGAGACACATCAGTCATTCCTCGCTTTCTCAACTGTTACTACTGGCGGCATAAAGTGGATTCGTTCTACTGTTTAGGCCGGAACTTGAGTTTCCACCCTTGCAAATTTTCGAGCTGCATACAGTGCAGTGTGGAGCAATACCATCAGCAACAATGGGTGACATGACAAATAGCGATTTTTATTCAAAGAACCAAAGAAATGAGGCCAATCATGCAGGAGAATTTGGGTGCACGCTTCTGGATCTGCGCTCCCTCATGGAACTTCGAGGAACAGAAGCAGTAGTAAAAATTAAAGAGACATATGGGGACACTGAGGGCCTCTGCAGACACTTGAGAACATCGCCAACAGAAGGTAGGCAATGATATAGTTTTCTTTTCCCACTAGAGCCAGAGGTTCAGGGCCTTTTGTGTGTGCATTGCTGTAATCCTTCTTTCGCAAAGCAGGTTTCTGTCGTACATTTTATTTTACATGCTTCAGAGAGGAGCAGATTGAGACAAATATAGCCACTGTTAAAGCTTGTGTTGTGCGAGAGTCCAAAAATAGTGCTGCTCTTATAAAGTTGTTAAATATGCTAACTTGATTTTTAAAGCAGAATTATTTTTAGAGAAATGCATGAGAAAAATCCTTGAAGAATTTCATTAAATTCTCTGCTAGGTCATACATGCAATCCTGCTCAGTGTATCCATGTGAACGACATTATTTTTCATATTATTCTTGCTATTCTGCAGTATTTATACCTTCTCTTCATGTATGCCATCTCTGTTTATGTATCTGCATTTGCTTTGGATGCTTGAAACATTGACCTGTAGTCTGTGCCACAGTCTGACAGACAGTCACATAATCCCCCCCACCCCCCGTAATCACCTTTGGACACTTTATTCATTGTGCCCCATTTTAGTGCATTACACAAAACATCCTTTTTCTGTGTAGGGAAAGTTGCTTATATTAATGTAAAAGACAGTTTGATTAACAAATCAGGAAAGCAGAAGTACCAAGTTTTATCCCTATTTAGATTCTGATCCTAATTTTGTTTGTTTAATAGTCCATGTCTCTGTCGCTGTCATTGTATTATGTGATGTTAGGTTAGTGGAACTGTTGGCAATGGCCATTTATCCTAGCAAGAGTTGGGACTGGGAACTTGCAGCCCTAATTTTAGGTAAATTTTATTCTGCATAGGTATATGTGAGGTTACACTTTTGGGGCAGACCAAGAAACAAGGCCAGAAGTACATGAATCAAAACATTTTGCTTTATAGGCTTGCTAGCTTGTAGTTCATTCCGAAGTAATGATAAGAACAATGTGCTATTTGAAATAAACATGGGAGTCTTTATTAAAATACAAACCAGGCCACATATTTAAATACTTTTTCTTATACTTTGAAGTAACTATCATTCTCCTTATTCCCATATTAGAGGAAGTATGGGTTAGAGGAAATGTTGGTTGTACTGTAGGAAACCGTGGTCTGTTTTAAAACACCTTGCTAGACAAAACTTTTTAGCTATTAAATTGTCATGAATTAATACGCTTTCAAATGAGGTCATTGTTTTAACTTCAGAACAATATAAATATACTAAGCATGGGGGAAAATAGACTTTCTATACAAGATACGTTTCTTTGGATATTTTGCTTAAGCTGTTGAAAATATGTAGTACTATATCATGAAATGTACAGTATCTGGCACGTAGATTTAGTGTGCATTGGGCATGGTTTTGTATGCTCTGTGAGAACAATTAAATATAGCAATATATTTGAGACATTTAAGACCAAACTCTTGGGATGTGTACAGTACAATCTATAGTTCAATTTTTCAGTTGCATAGCCTTGTTGCGAACACAGTACATAGTTTAGCTTCAGAAGGATTCTATATTGCATTATTTACGGAAGAGGCAACGATGAAGAAATCTAATCCTGCTTAGCAGAACAGGCTATTCAATTCCATTTAGTTTGCAATACAAAGTAGTTCAAAAGTAATCTGTATTTAAGGTACGAGTACCAAATTCCATGTGTGCCATGAATGATGGAAAGGAGTGAAGACTGGCAATTCCACAAGGGATTCAGAATTTAGCCTCAGAGGCTGATGCCTTCTATCTTGTCAATTAGCCTATGTACTAGGAAAGAGCATATCAAAGGCTGAAGTATACATAATACTGAAATATATGTTTGGCAGGATTTCTAATAGGCTGGAATAGTGCAGCTTAGACGACAAATACTATATAGAATGAAGGTTAATAATTGTGCACTATTTTTTATAGTATTAAGGTACAGAAGTAGACACAGTGTAGCTTCACATAATGAAGAATGAAAATATGACAAGCAATAAGATTAAAAATCTGATGGCATGAAAACAGCTATATTTTTGCTTCTATAGTTCAGGAGGCATGGGCAGTAAATGTTGGTGTGACCTCCAGAACTGCAGGGGTTGAAACACGAGCAAGTAGTAGTTGCCAGCTGACTGTTGAAGCAAGAGTAAAAACAAGATCCAACAGGGAAAGGTCCTCAGCTTTAAAGCAATGTGTGAATGGGATGGGGAAAGATTCGGGTGAAAGAATCAACAGAAGTTTGGATTACATTATCTGTGATTTCTTCCTACTCTATTATTTGGAATTTTTCATTGTGTTAATCTACCGGGGGGCATGGAATCCCTCAACTGTTTATGCGATCCCTAGACTTGGCATGTGATCTGTTGACTTGGCTTGTGACATGTTTTGTGGAAACCGCTGAGATACAAAAGGTGCCCGCTATCTGTACTTTCGGGAAACAATTGAATACATTCTTGTTTCAACTAGTTTTTCCAGCTGGTTTCTGCCTTAGGTGCTCATTTTGCACTGTTTTAAAACACACCTTCAGCTTTTTTTGCATTATTTTTTTTAAAAAAACCTTATTTTTAGCTGTAATGTTTGTAAATTGCCTTCAAACGAATGTAGAAGGAGATTCACAAGTAAACAAATAAATACATAATGCCCATCACTTTTATTCTCTAAACAACAAATATAAACATAATAGAATTCTCTTACTTGGTATATTTTTGTTTTAGTGATATTCTTTTACAATATGTGGCTTGATAATGCTATTAGGAAGACACAGTGGTAGCTGTTCCCACATCTAAAGGTCAGGTTTTCTTTCAAGAAAAAAATGTGCTGGTTTCAGTGGTAAAAACATTGAAGTCACAAGAAGAGACAGGAACTGTCATCCATGGGGTTGCACTCCCCTGGAACAAGACTCTCCATAGCTTAAGGGTACTCCTTGGTCCAACATTGACAATGGAGGCTTAGGTGGCCTTGGTGGCTAGTAGTGCCTATGCCCAGGTACAACCTATTTTCAACAGTGATGACTTTGCTACTGTACTCCATAGTTGGTAACTTCCAGATTGGATTGTTGCAAAGTGCTCTGCATGGGAGTTCACTAGAAGGATTCACAATCCAAAATGCAGTATGTGGCTTGATAATGCTGTTAGGAAGACCCAGTTGTAGTTGTTCCCACATCTATAGGTCAGGTTTTCTTTCAAGAAAAAAATGTGCTGGTTTCAGTGGTAAAAACATTTATTCATAATTGTGTCTCTGTTTATCCAGTAACTTGTTTATTGTCTTTTTATGCAGTTTCTGATATCTCTTAGTTTAGTAAAGGAATCAGGGTAAAAAAAAAAGTATCTTGAATTAGAAACCTGGAGCTGATTTCACCCTTATCTGGCTGCTCTGTCTATTGCTACATTGAAAAACATTGAAATAAACAAGATGAGCTTGAGCTCTTGGTACAGCAAACTAAATATGACATAATAGGCATCACTGAAACCTGGTGGGATAAGTCCCATGATTGGAATGTAATAATGGAGGGATACAATCTATTTAAGAGAAACAGACCAGACAAGAAAGGGGGAGGAGTGGCGTTATATGTCAGGGATGTGTATACCTGTGAAGAGATCCAAGATTTAGAACATCAAAGCCAAAGTGAGAGCATTTGGGTCAAAATTAAGGGAGAGAAGAATAACAGAGACCTCATTGTGGGAGTTTACTATAGATCCCCAAGCCAAACGGAGGACATAGATGATGCCTTCCTGGAACAGATGGCCAAGCATGCAAAAGGAAGGGAGATAGTAGTAATGGGGGACTTCAATTACCCGGATATTTGTTGGATGTCAAACTCAGCCAAGAGCATAAGGTCAAACAGATTCCTCACTGGCCTTGCAGACAACTTCATTGTCCAGAAAGTGGGAGAAGCAACAAGAGGAACAGCCATTTTAGATCTCGTCCTAACCAATATTGATGACCTGGTTAGTGGGGTAGAAGTGGAAGGATCATTAGGCACGAGTGATCATGCTCTTCTGAAGTTTACTATACAGCGGAAAGGAGCAGCCAAGCATACTAGGACTCAATTTCTTGACTTTAAGAAAGCCGACTTCATAAAACTTAGGGAAGTGCTGGGTGAAATCCCATGGACAGTAATACTAAAAGGAAAGGGAGTTCATGATGGCTGGGAGTTTGTTAAGAGGGAGATAGTAAAAGCACAACGTCAGGCAATACCAATGAGACGGAAACATGGAAGGTGCCTAAAGAAGCCAGGGTGGCTATCTAAAGAACTTTTAACTGAGTTAAGATTAAAAAAGGATGTGTACAAAAAATGGAAAAGGGGGGAAACCACCAAAGAGGAATTCAAACAAATAGCCAGCACGTGTAGACACAAAGTCAGGAAAGCTAAAGCACAGAATGAACTCAGGCTTGCTAGAGAGGTTAAAAGCAACAAAAAAGGCTTTTATGGGTATGTCCGTAGCAAAAGGAAGAACAAAGAAACAGTGGGGTCACTCAGAGGAGAAGATGGTGAAATGCAAACAGGGGACACAGAAAGGGCTGAACTCCTCAATGCCTTCTTTGCCTCAGTCTTCTCCGATAAAGAAAACAATGCCCAACCTGAAGAATTTGGAGCAAATGATTCAGCAAAGGAAACACAGCCCAGAATAACTAAGGAGATAGTACAAGAATACTTGGCTAGTTTAGATGTATTCAAGTCTCCAGGGCCAGATGAACTGCATCCAAGAGTATTAAAAGAACTGGCAGATGTGATCTCAGAACCACTGGCAGTCATCTTTGAGAATTCCTGGAGAACAGGCGAAGTCCCGGCAGATTGGAGGAGGGCAAATGTTGTCCCTATTTTCAAAAAGGGGAAAAGAGAGGACCCAAATAATTACCGCCCAGTCAGTCTGACATCAATACCAGGGAAGATTCTGGAGCAGATCATTAAGCAAACAGTCTGTGAGCACCTAGAAAGGAATGCTGTGATCACCAATAGTCAGCATGGATTTCTGAAAAATAAGTCATGTCAGACTAACCTGATCTCGTTTTTTGACAGAATTACAAGCC